CTATTCTATTCTATTCTATTCTATTCTATTCTATTCTATTCTATTCTATTCTATTCTATTCTATTCTATTCTATTCTATTCTATTCTACTCTACTCTACTCTACTCTACTCTATCTTTCTTCTATTCTATTTTTTTCCTATTCTTTTTTCCTATTCTATTCTATTCTCTTTATTCTATTCTATTCTATTCTCTATTCCGTTGCTTCATTCCAATATCTGTTCTGTTCTGTTCTATTCTATTCCATTCCATTCTATTCTCCTTCCTTCTTCCCTCCTTCTATTCTATTCTATTCCTATTCTTTCATTACTCTATTTCATTCTATACTATATTCTATTCTATTTTCTATTTGTTATTCCATTCCATTCCATTCCCTATTTCTATTCCATTCCATTCCTACTCTCTATTCTATTCTATTGTTTATACCTATTCTATTCTTTTTTTCTATTCTATTCTATTCTATTCTATTCTATTCTATTCTATTCTATTCTATTCTATTCTCTATTCCATTACTTCATTCCAATATCTATTCTATTCTATTCTATTCTGTTCTGTTCTGTTCTGTTCTGTTCTGTTCTATTCTGTTCTAATTCTTATTCTAATTTCTATTCCTATTCCTATTCCTATTCTATCATCAGCCTAAAGCCTGCGGCTATCTCCTGGGTAAGAGTTGAAGTCACAGCAGAGGATCAAAATTTGAAAAGCCAATTTTCATGGAAATTAGGAAACTTCCTGTGAGAGGAAAACAGAGAAAAAAAGAAAATGTGCTTGTGTGTCTGCTCCACTGTTGGGACCAACAATACCTGCAGAAGCCATTGATGATCCTGCCTGAAATGACTTTGGTGATCTGTTTCCAGGATTTGGGATCGCCTTCTACCGGGGCCCCCAGCAGCACCACGTCTTCAACGATCCCTTCGCAATCTGAAAGAGACCCGCACCAAGATCAGCCCCGTGCAGGGGTGGGATTCAGCCGGTTCGGACTGGTTCAGGATGAACCGGATGTTATGTTTGCATCTGGTTTGCCGAACCAGTAGTTGAACCGACCGGCTGGCCCCGCCCACCCCCTCCCAGGAGTCTCCACACGGCCCGTTTTGGATGCAGGTGACTGCAGGGTCCGCGCAGAGGCTCTGGGAGGGCGAAAAATAGGCCTTCTGGAAGTATTCCTTCAGTCTTTTTAGTTGCCAGCAGAAAGGGAGTGGGGGAAAGCAGTGCATTCCTTAAATGCCTCAGATAATTGCTAGGCAGCCGAAGCTGTTGGCGCGCAAGATTATTACTGGAGAGCATGATTGATGACTCTTGGCTATGGATGTGTTTCATTGGAGAATATACATCCACGGGGTGGCGGGAAGACCAGGGTCAAGGGTGAAATGAATGTATCTTAGTGTCGGCTGCAACCAGGAAACGACGACATGTCAACTCCTAATAAATCAATTTATTTTTTTTACTCTGAAAGATGCGGCTAGAGACTAGTGAGTTGAATGGGGGTGATTGGAGCCCTGACATGGGTCTGTTTCCAGCTTCTAGAAGGCCTCTAGAACTTGGGGGAGGCCGTTTTTTCCCTCCCAGAGGCCCGAGGGAAGCCTCCGGACTCTGGGGAAGGCGAAAAATGGCCTTCCCGGAAGTTCTGGTAGGCCACGCCCACCCAGGAACCAGGCAGCAAACCGGTTGCTGGGATTTTTGAATCCCGAAGGAGCCCGTTGAGCTTCTCATTCTCCTGCAGGGATCCAGCCCCGCCCCTTCAGAGGAAAGCCTGAGGTCTAAAAACCACTAGAAAGGCAGGATCCCTTCCTCTTCTTTCTATTGTCCTTCCTTGGGAAGACAATCCAGATTGATCCATTGAAGCTGAGTTGGGATCGGGGATCAGCCGTCTTAAAATAGAATCGGTTGCTTTCTTTTCACGTCACCGCAGGCCGTCCTCAATTTCCGGCCACAGTTGAGCCCAAGATTTCTGTTCTTAAGTAAGACGCTGGTTGGGGGGGGTGAATTCCTCCCCATTTTACGACCTTTCCTGCCACAGTTGCTAAGTAAATCGCTACAGTGGTCTAAAGTTAGTGCCCCCGTCGCTAAATGAATCTGGCTTCCCCGCCGACTTTGCTCGTCAGAAAGTCGCAGACCCTGGGACACAGCGACCGTCATAAATAGGAACAAGTGTCGGATGTTGCGACGGTCGTAAGCATGGTGTCAGGATTCCAGCAATCGCCCTAATTAAATCATGATTCTCAAGCCAAACTTCAATAAATTTTAACAGATTTATTACAGGCAACATACTGGCTAAAAGTTCTGTTGCTAAGTGAGATAGTTGTTAAGTGAATTTTGCCCTGGTTTACACCCTTTCTTGCCATAGCTGTTAAGTGAATTGCCGCAGTTGTTTAAGTTAGCAAGGTGTCAGGATTCCAGCAGTCGTTCTAATTAAATCATGATTCTCGAGCCAAACTTCAAAAAACTTTCAAAGGATTCATTAGAGACGACATAGTGGCCCTGCCCTGTATGAAGCCAACTCTGGCATAGGTAATTTACAGTCCCCTGTGACCCTGTTTTCCCCCTTCCCCCTGGGTGTGTCATAAACCAGATTCTCCAATTGAGCACCTTCACGGGCTAGGTGTCATCATTCACCTTCTCCAATTAAATCTATTCGCGGGCAAAAGCTCTGGTAGTTTAGTTACAACCTTTTAAAGAGGAGAGTTGGAATGTACTTTCGCTTTCCCCCCCTTTTTTATGGCAACTACTAAAACAGGCATAGGAATGTTTTAGGAGTCGACACATGGAAAAATGATCTTAAGCACTTTCTTCAATGCTGTCGTAACTTCGAACAGTCACTGGAGAAACTGTTGTAAGCTGGGGACTGCCTATACCACAGCTACCCAGCCGAACAAAACTAAAAAGACGAAACTAAAAAGAAAGTCCCAAATAACCAAATAAAATAATTTATTGCCAGGTGCCATAAGGCAGAACACTAATCCTAGCTGTGTGGAAACTTATAAACAACACATTTCTGCTGTTTTCCGTATTTCTTTTGGTTGGCTTTTTTGGTTTTGGTTTTCTGTTTTGTGATTATTTTTCATTTGCCGCTGTGCTCAGCTTCCTTCCCACTGGAGGAAGCGTCTGCCTTTAAGAACGACGGAAACAGAACTCAGAATTTGTAGGCCACACACGTTGCAACGATCCTGGAATCGCAAAAAGCTGCAAATGAATTTTCCTGGAATCATGACGGTAACTGTTGGAATGGGATAGATAATTCTCTGGCAGAGAGAGAGGAGCACTGGCTACCAAGGCAACAATCCAGGGTTAGAAACCTCGAGCAATGCAGAGCCAAATTCTCTCTCTCTCTCTCTCTCTCTCTCTCTGAAATCTTCTGGAGGAAAACTGCCTCCTGCAGACCTGATCCATAAATCTCCCTTCCTCGGCAGGATAAAAATGAAGTCAGACATTGCAATGGCGATATATTTTAGTTAGGCAAGATGGAGAATTATTGAGTCTGTCATCTGCACCTCTATAACTGTCTGGTTTGGCTCTGCAACCCAACAGGACAGACACAGACTTCAGAGGTTAGTTAGGACTGCAGAAAAAAACAATGGCTACCAACCTGCCTTCCATCGAGGACCTGTATAAAATGCACGAGTCAAAAAGAGGACTGTGAAAATATTTACAGACCCCTCACATCCCGGACATAAAGTGTTTCAACTCCTACCCTCAAAACCACGCCATGGAGCACTGCACACCAGAACAACTAGACCCAAGGAGAGTTTTTCCCCCCAATGCCATCACTCTGCTAAACAAACAATTCCTTCAACATTGTCCAACTATTTACAAAGGCTGCACTACTATGACTATTAACCTTCTCATCACTCCTTATCCCATCCCCTCCCACTCGTAACTGCATGACGGTAACTGTCACTTGTATCCTTACAATTTATATTGACTGTTTCCTAGTATAATTTGATTGCTTATTTTTATGACTATATTCTATTTACTATGACTATATAACCCTATGACTATCATTAAGTGTTGAACCTTATGATTCTTGATAAATGTATCTTTTACTTTATGTACACTGAGAGCCTATGCACCAAAGACAAATTGCTTGTGTGTCTCTCTTGGCCAATAAATAATTCAATTCAAAATTCTATTCTATTCTTCTTCATTCCATTTCATATTTTCTATTCTATTCTACATTCTATTCTACATTCTATTCTGTTCTGTTCTGTTCTATTCTATGTTCTATGTTCTATGTTCTATATTCTATATTCTATTCTCTATTCTCTATTCTCTATTTTATATTCTCTATTCTCTATTTTATATTTTATATTCCATTCCATTCCATTTTATTATTTGCAAGAAGCCAGAAGGCTGAACCACCTCTGACTTTTCCACAGCACCCACTGCATCTCTCAAGCAATTGTAAGGACTTAATTCCTTCCCTTTTTTTGCCAGCCAAGAGAAGAGCGGGGTGCTGTGGGAGCGGGAGGCATCGTTAATACCTGGTTCTCAGTCTACAAGGATGACAGATGGTGGGTCAAGAATGAGGATATTTTAAGGGAAAGAGAACAGGCTGGAGAGGAAGTTCGTGGGATGAACAAAAATCGTTGCTGGGGAGATTGGAGCTGACATCGGTTTGGTCGTCCGCATCGAGAAGTTGCAGGGGGGTGGGGTCAGCTTCAGAGCAGGAACCCCAAAACTGGAAGTGGGGTGGTGGTGGCTGCTGTCCTACCTTTCTCCTTGGCCATCTCCTGCAGGCAGAAGTAGATCACCCTGGCGCCAAGACTGAACCCAACCAGGGTCACCGGCCGCTTGCCCTACAAGAGGAGGGGGGACAGGAGGAAAAAATGAGAAGAGGCCTCTTGTTTTGTTTTGTTTCAAAAACAGATATCCGACACAAATAAGCAAACAAACAGCGGTCAAGTGTCAAACTCGAGGCTCGTGGGCCGGATCCATTCTGCAAGGGGGGGGGCCTGCTCTGAAAACAGCAAAGGACCGGCCCACGGCGCCTCTGCCATTGAAAAGGGAACTTGGAGAGCCATGGGGCACTCCGGCCTCGGTTTTCTCTGGCCGAGGGCTGCAGGAGGCCATCGTGGCTGAGAATGGGGCGTGGGGGAGTGTGCATGCCACCCCAGCTCAGTTTTTGCTGGCAGAGGGCTATCAAAACAAACCAAAAACAAAACAAAAGGAGAAATATTTCCCCTTTTACATTGGAGCATGCAAGAAGAGACAGGAAAGGAGGAAGGGAAAGAGGAAAGGCAAAGAAAAAGAAGAGATGGGAAGAGAGCCAAGATAGAATAGAATAAGAATGAATAAGAATAAGAATTAGAATTGAATAAGATAGGATAGGATAGGATAGGATAGGATAGGATAGGATAGGATAGGATAGAATAGAATAGAATAGAATAAGAATGAATAAGAATAAGAATTAGAATTGAATAA